GAAGAGGAAGAGGAAGAGGAAGAGGAAGAGGAAGAGGAAGAGGAAGAGGAAGAAGAGGAAGAAGAAAGAAGAAGAAGAAAAGAAAAAAAGAAACTGAGAGGCAACGTGGTATGCAGTGTTTCACTTAGTTGAAATACTTATCAAATGACACCAAATATTCTCCAGATCTAAAGTTCCACTTTTCCTCCTTCGTCAACTGGTTTTCTCCTTTTCCTACTAGATTCTTCTGACCTAGTGAATGAAGCAGCCATTCATTTAATCATTTGATGAATCCAACTGTTTAATAGTGTCAGATCTATGTAGAAATAAAAGAATGTCCTCTCTTCATACTTAAAAAAAAAATAGTGATAGGAGTCCAATGAATGAAATTGTGAATGGGTTAGAATACTGCAAAGGGATAAGCTAATTGAACACAATGAAAACACAATTCAGGGATCAGATAGAAAAGCTGATTCAAAAAAAGAAAGAAAGGGGCCGGGGAGATGGCTCAGTAGAATAAGTGCTTGCCTGGCAAGTGCAAAGGCCTGAGTTCAATCCCTGGTTCCGCCAAAAAAAAAAAAAAAAAAAAAAAAAAAGTGTCTGGGGCCAGGGAGATAGCTCAGTGGGATGCAAGATTCTGAGTTCAATTCGTGGTACCACAAAAAAAAAAAAAAGAAAAAAAAAAGAAAAAAGAAATAAAGAAAAGCTGATTTAGTTTAACTTATAATTGCCTTGCTTGCAATTCCTTAGCCTTTGAGCATTTATTTACCATATTTACCTTAAAAAATCAATTTCTAAAATATAGCAGCACATATTTACCAGAAGTGTGGTAGGCTTCCTGTGATGAATCAACTGCTGTCACAACAGAAAGGAAAGCCAGTTCAGTTGCTTTCGTGGATGTCAACACACTATGACAATGCCTGCGTGCTCGTTCTGGCATCTGCGTGTTCTGAGGGAAGTCACGGCCAATGACAGTCCTCGGCTCATGGACAACGAGCACAGCAGCTTTGTGGCCGTCGACTGACTGGCATTTTGAGCATCAGTCAGACAGCAACTTCTGTCCGTGGAAGAGGGCCACCTTACCATGAGAAGGTGACCTTTTAAAGCAAAATGGGGAAAGTACTGTTAGTGATGGGAGGTAGTCTGCAAGCTCAGTGGTTCGGTATTTTGCGAAGTTTCTAGCTATCCTAGCACGAGCGCCATTTTTGGTAAAGGGCACACTTCTGCAGCTGCCCACTTCCACATGACTAGGGCAGTTTGCGTCTGAGAACTTTGTTGCGGGAGGCTCACGCCGCATGATCCCCGCGCTGCCTCCTTCTCTTGATCGTGGCGTCAGCAACACAAAGCAACTGATCAGCTCTCCGTCCTTTCCGAGTGTCAGTGGCGGGTAGAAAACAGACTTCAGCCCGAAGGCAAGAATCACCGAGTTTGCAGTTAGGACATGGGCAGCGCCTGGTAGTGGCAAGGCTCCAATGTCACTGGAGAGCCAAGCAGACTTTGGGAGGCCCTTCTTGGGGGCACTGCCTGCCAGAGCTGTGAATTACAGCCTAATTAGGTGTCTCTGAGGCTCAGGGACTGTCCCCTCCTGCACTTCACCCCAATCCTTGGAGATAAGCCTTGTTCTCCCTCTGCTACCTCCACACTGCTGGATGGGAATAAGCAAGATTTAGCCCTCACGTCACAACTTCACCTGAGCTTCCCTCTGTTCCTGGTGGGCAGGCAAAGACGCGACACACCAAAGCACCTAGTACACCATCTAAGACACTGTCCACCTTCTTTGCACACAGATATAGCCTTCCTGTTCTTGACTTTCGTTTGTTAAATTGATCCACAGTGTACCAATTCTAAATTTTCCCACCCTAAATCTTTTGTATTACTTTTCTTAAAGTAGTAGGGCCCAGCTTATTGTACAAGAAGTCTGGCTGGGAAATCAGATGGAAACAGTTTGGATTTCTGAAGGATGGGAAATGTCTCCTTTCTAAAAAGGGCACTGGAATTCTCTTAAAAAGCAAAGAGCCACTGGGGAGATAGCTCAGTAGTCTAAGGTCTAAGCACCTGCCTGGCAAGTATAGAGACCCAGGTTCGATCCCCAGTGCCATATGTCATGTCCACCTTGCCCCAGGCGTGCTGTGCCAGCCACTAAAACCAGACGTAGTGGTGCACACCTGTGATTCCAGTACTGGGGAGGCTGAAATAGGAGAATCACTACGAGTCTAAGCTGCATAGTGGAACCCTGTACCAAATACATTAAAAAAAAAAAAAAAAAAATCTCAAAGAGCCATTGGTACTATGAGAAATCCATAACCAAACAAACTTTATGGCTTAGTCTGTCTCTTTGGAAACAGAGCTTAGTTGAGGCCTGTGGCCATGTAGCTTATGTGGGGGCAGAATGCCCTCTCACTGAGGCTGTTTGCTACATAAGTGACCCACTCATTCCATTCATCTGTCAAATGGCCCCTTAGGCTTCCTGTACTATGAAGACCTTGTCCACTGTGTGACCAGGGCAGAAGCAGAGGCAGCCAGCGAGCTGGTTAATGAGGCTGTCCGGGCGTTTCTTCCAGGAGCCCTCATCTCCATGACAGGAGGGTTCCGAAGGTAAGTAAGCTGCTTGGCCTTGTCACCTTCAGGGCTCCGCACCACATGCTGGCTTCAGAAGCAGCACGGAAAGCCTTCTGGGATCTAGCGCCAGCCCCTCCTGCAGCTTCGTTCCCTGACCATCACGTTACATTCCAGCAGCCCCAGTAATCTTGTCGTTTCTTCCACATGTGAGGTTGTTTCTTCCCTCTATGACTTCCCCAAACTGTCCCCTGGGCTGGTTTTCTTCATGCTGTGAGACTAATTATTCCACCACCTCTGGAAAGACTTCATGACTCGCCTCCTTCTCTCCCAGCCTCCTCTCTCTCCATGCTCCACTAGGGCCTCTCTTTGGTGCTCCCTGGCACATGTCAACCACTTGTTACACAATGCGTGCTTTTCCCATTAGGCTACTAGAGCTTAGTTCTTTTTTTAAAAAAAAATATTTTTATTGAGAAACAAATAGCAATGAGACAGTTTCACAACCGATTACTAGTACATTTTCAATAATTAATACATTGCATATTGTTGTCTTAGTGGTTATTCATTGTACAAGATGCAGACCTGATATCCTGTCTCAAATACTATTAGACCAAACCTCTCTATTCATTGAATTAAGAGAATGGAGCTATGTATCTATCCTAACTATTTTGAGTATACAGATACAAAATGGTCATTCATTTGTATCCCCATTTTTTGTTAGTTTTGTCAGAGAAGGGAATTCCATTGTCATTTAAATACTGTAGGTGCATGAATTCAGCAAAATATCCAAATATAGTCCAATAGTCCATAATAGTAATGGGTTTTCCATAAGACTGTCAATGTCCAAAGTTGTTGACTTGAGCATTTTACAGCTCATCATATTAATATGGCTTTACTTTTTATACTTCATTTTCATACTTTTCTGCTGGATGGTTAAGACCAAGAAAGAGCAAGACATATATAGTAAGACATGTAACTTCTGGGGGGCTGGTGAGATGGCTCAGTGGTCTAAAGCACCTACTTGGAACAAGCTTAGCAAACACAGGGACGGCGGTTCAATCCCCCAGCACCACATGCCAGCCAGCCCCGCCCCCTGGTGGGCTGAGCTGGCCACACACACACAAATAAATTTTTAAAAAAATTAAAAAAAAAAAAAAAAGAAATGTAACTTCTGTATCTGATAAGGTCAGTCAAATCCCTCAGGATTTAACCTGAAACCCTGTACCGCAGTTTGTAGATCCTTTGTCAGTGTCAGCCATGTGGATGAGTCACAGCCATTGCTTGACCAATTTGCTCTCTGTAAAAGCCTGAGAGAATGTTTTCTCTCCATGTGACTCTCCTTAGGCACACTCTACATCATCGATCACTTTCCTCTGTGGCCCTAAAATCTCCTTGATCAGAAAATTTGGGACACAATTGAGTTACAGGATGTTACATTACAGGTTCTCCTATGTCCTGAGTCCTTACTGACCTTGAAAGGCTAGGGCCAAAATGTTGGCTGTCCTTGTAGCCTCCATTTCTTTTTCTTTAATTTTTGTTCTGCAAACTTAAGTTGTTAACCCTCTAGAAGAGAAGCTTAATGATATTATTACCCTATAACATATACAGTTAACCTTAACCTCACTATCTGTCTTAACATCTTAGACATAACATGGAACAGGTATTTTCCATCAAGTATTGATATGTTCAACTTTGAGTCCCTCCAGAATATGAAGAAAAAAGATTAAAAAGATAAAAAAAATTTAAAATAAGAATATTTATGTATTTTTACACAGAAATTCAGAAATTTAACAATATACAGCCTTGTGGCAGGACAGTCCTGTGACTTTTTTTGTACTAGAACTTAGTTCTGCCTGACAGAAAGTAGATGAATTATTCAAGAAATCCCAGCTGACTCAGTGAATGAATTAGTAAATGAATTCTTCACAGGGGCACGTACAGTCATTGAATATCCAGGTCTCCATTTCCAAAAGGGATTCCTTCCCTCCACACCCTCGTTAACCTCTCCCTCAGATCCTCTTACCCAGTAGTTCTTGGCCACTGTGACAAGCCTGTATGAGACGGAAGAGAAAGACTGACTGTGAGGAAATGCCCCTAATGTATGGTATCATTCTAGCAGGGCTGCCCCGTATTACCTGAATATAGCTCTTGGTTTGCTTTGTGTCTCTCTCTCCCTTCCCTTTTCCCCTGGGTACATGTATGCTGCAGTTAAAATAGATGCACAGAAGAAAGGGTCTCTGTTACCTTGAGCCCATACAGACATAATCAAATACATATCATATATGGATTTTTTCTTTGTCATAAATTTATTTTGCAAAGCATGGAGTTGTGCACCTCGAGGTAATTCATTTTTAAGAATGTCGTGAATGTTTTGTGCTGTAAAATGAAGCACACACTAAGCATAAGGCACAGAAACAAAGATTTTGTTTAATCGGAGGGTTAAAATCTAACTTATTCTCATGCCACACTTTCTTTTTTTAATTAGGGGTAAGGAGACTGGGCATGATGTGGATTTTTTAATTACTAGTCCAGAAGTAACAGAGGATGAAGAGCACCCACTTCTGAATAAAGTGATAAGTTTATGGGAAAAGAAGGTAAGAAAAAAAATCAAAAATTGCATGCACAGGAGCCAAGGAGACGGCTCAGTGGAATAAGTACTTGCCTGGCAAGTGCAAGGTCCTGAGTTCAATCCCTGGTACCACCAAAAAAAAAAAAAAAAAAATTCATGCACAAACATGATATTACCACTGTGGAATTTTCTGTGTAATTGCATATTGGCCATCAAATCAATTTCTGATTATTTGTAACTCTTTATGACATAAAATCAGACTTACCTAGAGCACATGTTATAAATATGTATCTTGTTTATTTATATTTACTTTATTACTGAACATAACCCAGACTGGCTATGTACTCATCTTTGACATACAAGTCAATAAAGCACCAGACAAGATCTCTGCACTGGGAGGCCCTGGGAAGTATAATCCGAGAGAGCTGCAAGTTTAAGATTGAGTAAAAACTGACAAGATAGCTCAGCGGACTAAGCACCTGCTTTGGCAAGCACAGGGACCAGGGTTTGATCGCTGGTCCCGCATGCCATGCCGGTCCCAGCCGTAGGGGTGTGCTGAGCCAGCAACTGAGTCTGATGATGGTGGTGCACGCCTGTAATCCCAGTGCTGGGGAGCTGAAAACAGGAGGATCACTACGGCCCAAGCTACATAGTGAGACCCTATGCCAAATACGAAAAATGGAAAAAAAAAAAAAAAAAAAAAGATTGAGCAAGACTTCTCTAACTGGGATAAAAGCAGTTCAAGGGCCACTGCTGCTGCCTCGAATGCTGTAACGCTGTTTCCAACTTTCTACTGTGCTGAAATGGCAAGAAGGACGCTCAGGAGGGCAAGGTGGCCCAGGCAGAGGTCATGGCTCAAGCTCTCCGCAGTGACCAAGCCAGACTTGTGACAGGCTCCGACTGCCTAGTGGAAAGAGCTCGAAACCAACCCTATCACCAGAGACACCTGCAAGGCTCTGATTGCTGACCCACTCTGGAGAGAACCATTTTCCAGAGAGACCAAAGTGCCCAGGCCTGATCACACGAGTGGATTACGAATGCTGGGTCAGTGTCTTTCTGGTACAGCTTCATGCGTCCTTGGCATTGCATTCGTGGGGTGTGGACAGAGCTCACCGCCATGCCAGAGAAAGGTCATCTCAGCTAGAGAGAGACTAGGATCTAGAAATACACAGCCCCAGAGCCACGGCCGCTAGGAGTGAAACCCTAACTTTGGAACCAGATCCAAGTTTACCCACGAGGCCCTCTCATGCCCCAAAAGAGTCTGTCCTGCAGACAGAGGAACACAACCTGGCCCCGCTCCGTGGAGGGCTTCTGCTTCCTTTATGGGGGCCATTGCCAGGGTGGACCTCACTGAGACTGCCAAGACAGAGTAAGGTACAAGGTGGCCGGCCCCAGGGAACCCTCTTTCCATTGGTCTTTCCCCAGCTTTAAGGCAGTCACGCTGCCGTCTGTAAGCAGAGAAAGGTGTTTTAAATGTAGGCACTGCAGTAGAGGTTCACATGAAACACGCTGGATTTGTGGCTTTAAAAGAACAGCCCTGCCATTCATTGGCTGAACGACCGGGGTGCTTCCTTAATCTGTCCCTGCACCTTCCTTGTCTATAAAGTGGAGTGGCACACCTGTCAGTCGCGAACAGCAGATTAAATGAGGGAACCCTGAAGTATGCGGTGCAGTGCCGGAAACATGACAACCCCTGGACTAATGGTGGCTCTTTGTGATCTCTCATGTACAATTGTTCACTGGCTGCTCCCTGAGGGCCAGGGGAGGGGACTCACCCAGCAGGGGGCAGATGCAGCCCCTGTCCTCCACTCCCAATTTAGTCTAAAGAGAAAGTGTGGGCAGCCACAGCTACACCCTGGCAGCCACAGGCCCACGCCCAGCGCCGTGCTCGTGGAAGCGGTGCCCGAGTGCTTCACGTTTAACCTCCTCCGCCCTCTCGCCCCACTCCTCCTCGCTCCTACCCTGAACTGCGCTTTCCAGATGGCAATGACCACAGTCTGTGCTGGTGTCCGCTCACCCGGTGTGCTCACGCAACATCTGAAACACCTGCAGAGTGTGGTGACCAGCCAGGGAGTTGCCGTGGGAGCCACCATGGGATCACTTTAATAAGTGTTGCCCCTGGAGAAAATCCTTTGGGTGCAGGTGGAAGAAAAGGAGGCAAAGAATTGGGGAAGACTGATCTTTGGGAGGGGGTAGCTATCCCCAGATTCTGCTTGCCTGAATTCTAACAGAGTCTACCAGTCATTCAGTCCAGAAGAAAGAAGCCAGACCACTCAGGCTTGGGGCCAGACCCAGCAGGTGAGACCTTGGGGGCGTCCTCACTAGCCTCCCTGCTGCCCTGCAAGGGCTGAAGATCAAACGTGCTGACAGTCGTTGGAGAGCGAAGAAGATCAGCTGGCCTTCCGTGGCCTCAGGCCCTGCATCGGTGGCTTCAAGCAGCCTTAAATCGCCAAAGGAAGAGAAAAAGCTGTGTCTGTGCTGAGCAAGTAGGGAGCTTTGTTTGTCTCACTGCTCAACAAAGGATAGGATGGCAATTATGTGCATGGTGTTTACGCTGATTACATGATGAGGAATCTGTAGCTGATTTAAAATATAGGCCCTAGGCAAATGCTACACAATTTTATTTAAGGAGCTTGAGACTGTGTTACCAGTACTTGGAATGAATGGGAAGCACGGCTCGGCTGTTGTGCTGGTTGATACACTGCATCAACTTGAGAGGTTTAGAATTTTCATTAAGTGACCTCAGGGAGCCAGGATTCTTAGTTGTAAACATCCTCATCTTGTGCAAGAGGGTTAGGACGGCCTGGAATTTGTGTTAGTTCTACACCCCCCAGCCCAGGGGAGCTTGTTTATAATATAAGGAGGGGAGAGAAGCTGGCTAGAGGCTGGCTGGAAGCCGCAGCTGCTGCCCTTCACTTGCTTTTCCTGTTTTTCTGCTTCCATGAACTGCTGCTCTCTGCCATTTGCCACTCTGCCTGGGAGCCCGCTGAGTACAGACTGAAACCTCAACAAACTGTGAGCTAACTAAACCTTTCTTTCCTTAAGTTTGGGTGTCAGATATTTTGTCCCAGTAACTAGTAAAAAGTAACTGAGACAATTGTATTCACTCTGAAAAATTGACTTGCCTGTAGGTAGGGGACATTGATTCTTCTACACAGGACTTGAAGAAAACTGAAAACAAAAGGTATGAAGGAATCCTGCCAAGGGGCGCCCCCCCTCCAGTCTCTTTGCTGCGCTTCCTGGTTCTCCTTGGTTGGTGGGGTGTAACAGCTTCCTTCTGTGGGAGGCAAAGCTTAGCGTGTCTGCCCGCCCTTCTTCTCACCTCTCTCCTGAGAACTGGCTGCTTGGTCCCTGTTGATGCGGGGAGGAAAAAGAGAAATCCTTCCTTTTCTACTCTGGGGTCTTTCAGTCTCCAGTTAGGGTAGAAAGATGAAAGAGAAGGAAGAAGGAGAGAAGAACAATGAGAAGGAGACGAGAAGAACACGCTGATATGGATAGCCAGTCTCCTCCTGAGTACTGATGGAGAAGCCAGGCCCAATCCTCAAAAAGTCTTCACAGGAAAGAAGTCACCCAGGAAAGTGGATGATGAGGAGAGGAGCTATTAGAAATAGAGATGCCACCAAAAGGCCCAGGCTAAGGTATTAGGGCCCACCCCAGGGATCGTGTGCCTGCTAATGAGGGGGCCCTGCTGCAGACAGAAGGATTCTCAAACACCTTGCAGAGCTAGACAAGCACCAGGGGTGACATGTTTTTCTGTTACCAGCCAAGTGCAGGGAGCAGGCTTTGCGCATTTGGTTTTTGTACCGGGAATCGAACTCAGGACCTTGCACTTACCAGGCATGTGCTTATGTGCTGAGTTATTTCCCCAGCCCTTATATAAGTTTCTTTAAAGGGAAGTTGGTTTTATTACAAATTTGGCTATGAGACTTGTTACTGTTTTGTTTGAAAAGAAAAAAAAATGCAAGTTAGTTCTGCTACTAGTTTCTCTTAGTTCATTGGAAAGGATTGTGCTAATGTCATTTAGAGAACGTTTTATGCCCATATTTTACACTTGGAGTAACTACTGTAAGGATAACAATACATAATGTATTAACTGGTTATTCTGCTATTACTTGGTTATGAAATTTGGTTTTATGTTTCCATAAAATTTAGAAAACAAATAAATAAATTTGCCTGCTGAAGTTTACATGACAGTCTGCTACAGGGTACCTGTGAGAGTTACCTGATTGTGTCAATTTGATTAAGAAACACCCACCTAAATTAGGTAAGCTCAGTCCTCGGTGTGGCTGAAGGGATTGGCTGAAGACAGAAGACCCACCCCCAGTGGCACCAGCTAACAGGCTTGAGCCTGAATGGAAAAAGATGGAAACAAAGAAGAAAGGCATGCTTGTGTTTCTTCAGAGGAGCGCCAGGCCTCACCCCCACCTTGGATGTCGCCCCCTGGCTTCATCGCAGACCCTTTGGCCTCCTGATATGGACTCACATGAGATACTACAGTGAGCTCCGGGTCTTCCACTAGACCCTTCATATCTCCAGCACACAAACACCCCTTTCCCACTCCTCTGCACCCAAGTCTGCAGGAGGCATTGTAAGCCAGTTTTATAAATTCTTGTATATTTGCATAACTTACCTTAAATCTGTTCTCTAGTAAGCACTGACTGATACAGTTCCCATTTTAGCAAGTTGCATTAAAAAGCAGACCTGTGTGTTCCTGGGATGGTCACTAAATGTTACTTGTGCCCTACTCACTCCGCCTGCCAGAGGCTCCTCTGCTTAGCGATGAGCTCTCTCAACCTCCATAGAGCAAAGAAATATTTCACTCAATTGAAACAGTGCCTTGCGGAGGTTTCCATAAGAAATGAAAAGCACCAGCAACATCAGCATCTTCTCTGCAGTGTGAATTCTTGCCATCCTGATGTCCAGTGGATCACCGCAAAGAAAGGGCCGTGCAAACTGTTTATCAAAACTTTCAAATGTTTTTGATGATAAAGCATGAGACTATCTGGTCTTAAAAATATGTGATAATGGTGCCATTTTTAAAAATGTATTTGTTACACTAGGAGTCACTAGACTCCTAGTGATCCTCCTGTTTTGAGCCTCCCCAGTGCTGAGATTATAGGCATACACCACCATGCCCGGACTCGGTGGCCGGCTCAGCCCGTCCGGAAGCAGGGCTGGTGTGGCATGTGGTGCTGGGATCACTACTTGTAATCTGCCACTCAGCTTTGGTGTTCATTGTATGTTTTTGCCACTTCTCTCTCCTTATCAGCCCTGGTTCTAAGGATCTCCCATGCTGCAGACAAACTGCAGGATGGGACCTAGCTTGGGCATACTTTCAGTTTTTCATTAACTATCTGAGTAGGCAACTTTAGAAGCAGCAGGCGCCCCTCTTTTCATGCTTCTTCCCCACATGGGCAGAACAGCAACCTCTTAGGAGAAGCAGCATCTCCAGTGCTGCTAGGAATAGCGAGTCACCCCGCCCTAAAGAGGGGCTGAGCCTCCAGCCCAGCGTTTTGGGCTAGTTAAGTCTGATCATCCATGTAACATCCAGGAACATGATGTACGCAAGAAACCAGCAACAGCTTGGCTTTGTGTTCATGATTAGTTGGTTTTTAAGGGACCGAGAGAAGCTGTTGTGCACGGGCTGAGTGGAAGGCGGGAGCCAGATTATCTCCAAGTTTTGTCATTGAGTGGCTTTGGTCTGTTCCCTAAATTCCTTTTCTGCAGAGGCAGGCTTAGACAACCACTTGCTCTCCTGGTGTGTTGAGGAGAAATGCAAAGACAAAATTACTTCTGCATTCTTTCAGCTCTTTAAAGATTTCGTTGAAATCTCACTGTGACCCTGTCACCCAGGGACGCTTCCTGTTGTCTTTCTGTTTCTTCTCAGGGATTGCTTCTATACAGTGACATCATGGAGTCGACATTTGAAAAGCTGAAGCTGCCTAGCAGGAAGGTGGATGCTTTAGATCATTTCCAAAAATGCTTTCTGATTTTAAAGCTGCACCATCACAAAGTGGATGATGACAAGTCGCCTCAGCAGGCGGAGAAGACCTGGAAGGCCATCCGTGTGGACTTGGTCGTGTGCCCCTATGAGCGCCGGGCCTTTGCCTTGCTGGGGTGGACCGGCTCCCGGGTAAGCGTGGGCCGCTGGGCGGTGCGTGCTTTCCAGAAGCCTGAGGCCACGTCTACCCAGGCCAGGAGGAGACGATGGCGGCAGAGCAGAGTGCCAGGAAAACGGGCTGTGCCCAGAAACCTCTAAGTCAGAGCACTCCACCCACACACAAGGGAGTCAGGTTAGTTACTCCTCGTCCACAGACCAGCAGCTGGAGTCTTACTGGGGCAAAGGTAGACTTCCAAATTCTCTACCCCCACCCTTAACCCCTTGAATCAGAAACTGAGGGGGGGCCGATGATCTGGCTTTGAAATCTGTGTCCTCTATGGCTTGGTTTTCCCACCAGAAAATGAGGGCAAGGACCGCTGCCGCCCTCCGACGTGGCCGCAGACGTGCTCCCAAACAAAGCCCCAGCAGAGCACGGGGCGTGCGCTCAGCCCGGCGCGCCCGCCCATACCGCCCAGCTCCTGTCATGTTAGACGCACAGCACGGAGTCTGCGCCTTTAAAAAAAAAAAAAAAAAAAAAAAAAGTTTTTCTACCTTAAGTCCTGATGTTTTATTGGCATATGCTTGTACGTAACAACTGCATTAGTTTGGGGGGAGTTTACAGATGTGGCATATTTCCCACCTTCATCCCTTTGATCCCCTTACCACACTTTACCTGCTTCCCCTTCCCTAGATCCTCTTCCTAGACTCCAAGAAGTCCGTCTCCGTCTTTTCACTACCGTCTCTCTTTTATTTGGCTATTTAAATTTTTTATCTTTTGAATTTCTCATGTAAGAAAAACCATGCAATGTTTAATTTTCTGGGTCTAAAAATGTATTTCATTAATATTATGTTCCAAAGATCCATCTGTAGGGGCCAGGGATGTACCTCAGTGGCTTAAGCACCTGCCTGGCAAGCATAAGGTCCCAAGTTTGATCCCTGGTACCAAAAGAGAGAGAGAGAGAGAGAGAGAGAGAGAGAGAGAGAGAGAGAGAGAGAAAAGATCCATCCTTTTTTCCTACAAATGACTCAGTTTTTTCTTTATAGCTGAGTAATTCTCTCTCCCTCTCTGTCTCTCTCTCTCTCGCTCGCTCGCTCGCTCGCTCGCTCGCTCGCTCGCGGTACCAGGGATTGAACTGAGGATCTTGTACTTCGCAGGCAAGAGCTTATTCTACTGAGCTATCTCCCCGGCCCCTATAGCTGAGTGATTCTCATTTTCTGAGAGATATATAGTTTTCTTATTCCATTTATTGGTTGGTGGGCATCTATCTAGGCTGCTTCTATAATTTAGCTATTATGAATTGCAATGCTATAAATGTAGGTATAAATGTATCCCTGTAATACGATCATCTTTAACTGTAAGAGTATTCTAGTGGCATTTATGCAATCTTTGAAAGAGATTAACTCATCTACAAATCAGAACACTTGACTCCTTCCCTCTTATATATGTCCTTCTTGTCTTGCCTGATTTCTCTTGCTACGGCTGTATCACATTGCACAGAAGTGGTGAGAACAGATGCTCTTTTCTTTTCCTGATTTTCAAGAGAATACTTTCCATTTTTCCCCATTCGCTACTGTGTTGGCAGTGAGTTTTTCATAAATGGCCTGTGTCAGTTTGAGGTAAGTGCTTCTATAGCTATTTGCATTAGGGCTTTTAGTATGAAAGAATGTTGGATTTTGCCAAAGGCTTCTCGTGTGTCTGTTGAGACGATCGTGTGATTTTAATTTACTTCTGTTTATGTGGTGTATTACATTTGTTAATTTATGCACGTGGAGCCATCCTTGCAACTGGGATGAAACCAATCTGTTTGTGATGAAAATGATCTTTTTTAATGAATGTGTTCATTCTGTTTGCAAATATCTTGTTGAGATTTTTTGCATCTTTGTTTAAAGATATTGGCCATACTTCTATTTTTGTGGTTGTGTCTTTTTCCAGTTTTGGCATCAAGGAAATACTAGCATTAAGTAATGATACTGGCGGTGTCCCTTCTCTTTTAATTTCATGAAAGAACGTAGAGTTTTGGCATCAGTTCTTCTCTGAAGTTTTGGTAAAATTCAGGGACAAATCCATTAGTTTCTGCACTATTCTTATTTTTCTTTTCTTCCACTATTCTTAGTTGGAAAAATTTTTATACTTTGCAAATCTCAGTGCCTATTATTGTTCTTTTCAGAGTTTTCTATAGTTTTGGTTCAATTTTTGTAGGTCGTTCATGTCTAGGAACTCGTCTGTTTCTTCTAGAGGCTCCAAGTTATGGAACATACATTTCCAGAGAGTTTCTTACAGTCCCTTGATTTCGGCAGTGTCCATTTCAAACTCACCTATTTCTTTTCTAACTGCACTGATATGAGTCTTGTTTTCTTCATTCAGTTAAGTTTGGCTAAGACTTTGCCAACTTTATTTATTCCTCCAAAGAATTGATTATTTCGTTTATTTATCTTTGGCATTTTTTTTTATAAAAAGCAAAAGATTTATATGAGTTAAAGAGAAACCAGAGTATCTTTTGTATTTTCAGTCCCAACTTCATCAATTTCCACTCTGATCTTTCTTATTTCATTTAATTCTTCAAGTTTTGGTGTTATATTGTTCTTTTTATAAGGCCTTGAGAGGCATAGTTAGCTTGTTCATCTTAAATTGCTCTATTTTTCTTTTTTTTTTTTT